AGTAGGTCCCACTGAGGCTTCACGCATAGGAACAGTCCTTTAAGAAGGCACCTGCCAACAGCTACTTTTACATGGGCTGGGAACATTGACATAATGGAGCCATTCAACCAAATGTCAATATTTGGTCTACCAGACAGAAGAAGTGTTTGAATAATTTACTAAACTTTTCTGGGTTTATGGGACTCTTTCAAGTCACGGATATAACCCCTTGGATTTCCTTTGAGATCATTGTTTATGTTTTTTGAAATTCCATCTTTATGTCCCCTAAAAGTTCAAGATCAATAAACTTTAAAACGTAGGAAAAAAAATGAAGAATACGGCATTTGGGCTGGCTCTAGAGTTTCCCCCCCACTCCCCTGCGAGCACACACATTGGTTGTCCTTGTTCTTATTGTGTTTGGTGACATGGATTCATTCTCCTTTGCTCTGAATTTTTTGGGGAAAAAAGAGCCACCTTTCAGAGTGGGGAGAATCAAAACCAAGTGGCATTCTGTTGACCCAGAAGCCCCTGCTAAGTGGGTGCTCCGCGGCGTGTCAGCAGGCCAGGGAGTAGCTGTGAAAGGGCCAGCATGGGTTAACGGTGCTGGTCAGGCAAGCAGCTTCCTGTGGATTTCAAGTGTGGAAAACACCCGGAGGCAAAGTTTAAATGCCCTCTTGTTAATTTTCCTCAAACAAATCCAATTATTGCAAAATCTGTTAGTGCTGTTCAAGATAGTGTGACACAACTTTGCAGAGAACAAAATAAAATCTCTCTATCTATATATATGAGAAAAATATTTACTTTGGTCGAAGTATTTTCAACCCCAGGAGTTCTGATTTGGAAAAGAGTGTTCAGTGTTCCTCTTTCATTTTATGCGGTAAAAGCCAAGATACCTTATTCTCTCCAGGGGGCTTACTTAGCTCAGGACTGCCTGGGTCTTATTCTCAATAAAACATTCATATATTCACTCTTTCTATGCCGAAAACACAATTTTAAAATACTGACCATCATGTTGGGACACAATGCTGCTTGTGTAAGAAAGTCTGTAAGCCTTTCTGGATCCAACAGGCCCAATGAGCCCGCAGCAGGGTTGCCATCTGAGTTTGTAGACACACAGGCAGGGACAGCACATTTGTTTGCCTTTAAGAAAGGTACAGTTTATGGCGATGCTTTTCTTTATTGAGTCCTTATCTTGTACTTTCTAGTGCACTTTTAAGGTAAGGATCGTTGGAAAACTCTATTTTAGACTTAAAAAAATTTAATTAGTTACAAAATTTCTTGAGGAAAAATATATATTTAAAGAATCATTACTTTTTTGAGATGAAGGTAAAACTTGTTTCTGGAAGACTTATTCACCAGTTTCTATAGTCCATAAGTTCATCTCTGAGGCCGTGAATACAAATATCTTTAGGCATTTGAAGAAATGATTTTATTATTACCTGAAAGCTTTGAGTTTGGTGAATTAGAGAAATTGTCTTAACTTGAAGAGTCAAATCTGGATCTGCTGCCATGCAGAAAGAATTTTATCTAAATTGTGAAAAAGTCAGTGTCCTGAAGATGATGTTTACTTGATAGGAAAAACCATCAGTATTACTATGTCAAATGCTGGTTTGGAAATAGCTTTAATGCAATGGATAGTTATTGGAATAATAACTACAATAAATTTAGTATCGAGCCAAGAAGATATTAACTTTTTTTTTAAACTACCTTTACCACTTGGAATTACAAGTTGAATTTTCAAAAAATAAAGAAAATGGATTAAAAAATGATACCATGCATAGTAAACTATAAGATGTGGTGTTATCATCAATAATCTTCATATTGATAAATATACCTAAAAAAAAAAACTGTCTGGCAATGCCCATCCATTTCCCAGGGAAATCTACCTTATGATGGAGTTTGGAGAGGCAGTAGCAATGAGTTAAGGGGACAGCCTCTGTGGCCCGGGTCCCTTTGGCCTGTTCTCCTCTTCCCTACCAGGAGGAGGTACATGAGAATCATCAGCTGGCCTGTGGATGAGATGGGGGACCCTGATGCCACTGAGACTTAGCCAAAGTTACGGGACTTCAGGGCTGGCTCTCGATCCTCTCAGGCCTTGGGGGGCATCTTCAATCTTGATTCTTAGTCCTTCCCATGCCCGGAGCTCCTGGACACAGTGAGAAGACACCAGGGAGCGAGGGGACAGAAGTGATCATACTACTGGTTTAACTTTGCAGCCCATATGCCCAGGGAGCCCAGGCAGCAAGCGACATGTAAGCCTCTTGAGGGGAAGAAGGAAGAAGTGGGTTCTGCCATAGTCACTGGAGAGCCTCGATCTGTTCTCTTGGGAGACTGAGCAAAGAGCTTTATATCTGACATCATCAACACCGGAGGCAGGTCCGTGGCGCTGACCAGAGCTTCCTTTACCTCACATCTGGGCTTAGCGGTGAGGACCAGGGCTCGTCTTCCGCAGCTCCCAGAATAACAGCCAACCCTCCTTTTTCCTATTTTTCTCAGAGTTCTCCTAGAGGTCTTCTCCGGGATTTCCTTAACTGCTGGGACAACTTTTCTGATTATTATCTTTTCCTGAGCTTTACTATTTCACTTCTTCCATGAAGGTCAGCCTATGTGATATGAAGTTGGAGAGAAGGTAGAATAGCTTGTGCTACAATGGAAGGGCTCCACTCATACAGAACGGGCATCTCAGAGACACACTAGGTTTCTCTGAACACTGCCTATGACTTCTCTCTGGCTGAGGTTAGGTGCCAGGCAGCGCCTTTGCGGCAGGTGTCACTGGGTCTGTGGTTAGAAAAGTGCCCACAGGTGGTTGTTAAAGGACATTGAAGGGTTATGGCCTCTTTTTGGCCCTGAGAGAGGATGGGAGGGAGAAGAGTCAGAAGACCCCATCGGTGAGAAAACCCAAGCCTCAGAGAGGTCTCACTGGCCACTCTCAGCCTCTGGTTGTGCTCCATGTCAGCAAGCAGCTCAGGAATCCTACGTGTGAGAGAGATTCTTCACAGGGATCTAGAACAGGACAGTAAAGAAACAGGCGAGGCCATCCTCTCTGGCCATTCCAAGGCGCCCCCAGGCTGGACACTCTCAATACCCCTCAGTGGCCATCAGTGAAATGGGTGGCCATGGGCAGCCACATGGCCTGCAGAATTCTCAGGATCCACATACAGGCTGCAGACACTGTTTTTGGCCATGTGCGCATCCATGGTTATGTCCTTTTCTCAGTTCGTTAAATCACTTTCTATAACTTTGCTTTGAAAGTTCTAGCTAGGTGGCTGCATTTGGAGGAGGCCAGGGTGGAGGGAAGAGCAGTGGACCGACCCTGACTATTCCCTATGGCAGGACTGCTGCAAGAGAGGGAGGGGCAGACTGGAGGAAGCACCATGGCAACACTAGCCATGCCAGGACCTCATGCCAGGGGACAACTGGCAGAGCTATGCTTAAACTAGATTTGATAAAATCTCTCTCTTTTAATTAACTACAGTAATTCTTTCTGAAGCGAAGTCTTCAGAAAAGGGACAAACCACCTCTGCTTACTTACTTTGAATTTTCATTTCTAAGTATGTCCCCAAGCATGGGAATGTCTTGTTTGCACTTTTACTTTGGCAGTAAAGATAAGGGGGGTAAAAAGCACTCAACTCAAGCTTTTGAGCAGTCACTAGAATGACAATTTTCCTCCAGGGTTTCTTGCAACACTGTAAGTTCTGTTTTGATCGTAACTATTCACTTTTCTTCAGCTTATGCTCTATTTAAGTGTTCATGAATAACCCTTCCCCTTCTCCTCTGCCCCTTATTATTCCCCCCTCACTCCACCCTCATGCATGTTAAGTATTGCATGTGATTTTAAAGTGACAGCTATCCAGGAGGCCTTCTGAGTCAGTGACACCTCCCCCTCCACTCCCATCCCCACTATCTCCAAAGTGGCCCCAATGAGATGAGCCACACTTTCTGGTATTCCATTCTTGTGTAACCCCTTCCCCTTGAATCTAGGCTGGCCCTGTGACTTGCATTTGACCAACAGTCTGTGGTGGGAATGACTCTGTTACTTCTGAGGTTATTTAGAAGAGCCTTGCAGCATCTACTGGGACCTCTTGCAACGTTAGCTCTGGGGGAAGCCAGCCACTATGAAAGCAGTCTGACTGCCTTGAGACCTCCATGTTGTGAGGAAGCACAAGCTAACCATGAGGAGAGACTATGTGTAGAGAGACGCCCAATCAGCCTCCCGCTGTTCTGGTCATCCGAATAGAGGAGCCAGATGTATATGCAAAGAGTCCATCATGGATATCCTGCCCAGTTCCGTATTCAGATGATACCAGCCTCAAGCTGCCATCTGATAGCAACCGTAAGACTCCAAGAGAGAGCAATCACCTAAACACCACCAACCCACAGAATCGTGAGCGATAACTTGCCATTTAAACCACTAAGTTTTGTAGTGCTTTGTTATGCAGCAATAGATAACTGGAACACCCACCAGGACAGGATGGCCATGAAGATAGCAAGACATTTTGTCAGTCTTGTTGGCTTGAGAGTATGCCTTTCTTCTCTTCATATGAAATGTAGTTCTACTGATGGCCATAAGGACAAAAGCATTCCATTTACAGTCATGCTTGTTTGGGCATTGTGAAAACATCCACACTGTAGACACCATTCCTTTCCCTCCCCTCCCCTAGTCCTCCTCTGTGTACTTTCTAGGTGTACTTCCTAGGTATCACATCGCCTGCAAAATGTGCCCAGTTCACTGGCTGGGAAGATGCTTTTGCAGCAACACGCAACCAGGGCAGATCTCCTTGAAGACAAAGGCAGCAAGAGGAAAGGGCTGAGAGTCAGTGCCAGGTGATTGAGGGAGACAGTTGGTTTCTCCCCATCTCTTGGAACCAGTTTTCCCCAAGGTCTCTTCCAAAGATCTAACCAGGTTATATCCCTTTCCACTGCCATTTCCATTTTTTCAAGGTACTTTAATTTCCTTCTCTATCCTGGAAAAGACAATGGAGAATTACCTTCCCCCCAAGTTCAATGAAACAAGGTTGGAATTTTTCAAAAGGAATATTTACTAGGAAACTAAAGGGAAACCAAACAGAAGGCAAAAGAACAGAGGCAGAGTTGCAGATGGGCTCAAGGAGTTCAAATTTATAACCAGCCTCTGGCCACAGCTGGACTGTTAAAACTCTCCAGCACAAGCCACCTGCCTGCCTCACTTTGCCTGCTGGCCCCTACAAAGCCACCTTCTGTTTCATAACAACAAGCCAGTAGCATACTCGTAAGTACCCCAGGGCTGCTAGTTCTCTAGGCAGGAAGATCTTAGCCTGGGGAACAATAGGCACAGCTGCCCCAGGATCTCCTACCCAGGCTCCCAGTGCCAAGGACAAGTCAAAGTTTATTGGGATGGCTGCCTGATATCTACTGGGGCCAGTCTGGTTTCTCTGGGACCATCCTTCTGGGCTCATCCGCCTGGATCAAGAGATAATATTTATCCTGCTGGCACTAGTCCTTCATGCTTTGGTTCTAAACACTGGTATGATGGAAGATGTCTGAATGCAGAGGAATAGGCAGAGGGAACCTTAGGCAAGGAAGGCTGAATTCTTCTCATGTCAAAGACATAGGCAGAATCTTGGGTTCCCTTTGGATCCTGGAGGTTGAAAGCCAGTCAGAGATGGAAATGGATTAGGCAGGCTGGGGAACACATGAAGCTGGAATATTGTAACACCGCCTCATACAACCAAAGGTCTCCATCCCTTTAAGGTTTGACATTGGGGTAGTTTCTTGTACTGGGTAGCTGTGGCAATAAGAACTTTCTGAAGACCTGCAATGATTGTGCTTCCACCCAGTTAGTCCCACATGGAAGTGTTAATTCAAATGAAGATAAATGAGCTTCCCAGGACGGTAAACTACAGTCCAACTCTGGATTCTGCTGCAAAGCGATTGTATGAAAGGGAAATGCTGTCTTGGAGAAATGGTGCAAATGTACGGACGGGGCACCTTACACCTATAATGGGAGAGAGAGGTAACAATACCACCCCCAGGACATGCTGAGGCCTTTAGTTTCATTTGTATGGAGGCAGAAGCAATGAGGATGAAGAACACAGCTGGCAGTGGGTTGGCTGATGTGGTCACAAAGGAAGCTGAGTAATGAATGTGATACCCGGGGAGAGTCCTTGACCTTCACTCCTGCAGGTATTTCCATTCCCCAAGTGCTGTGAAAGTGATGCATGTGTCCAGAAGTGAAAGGAAACCTGTCGGTGGCTGCCCAAGGCTATGCCTCTGGGCTGTTGCACATGGAAATACCCCAAAAGGCACTCAGGCCAAGAAGGCCCAAAAGTTGTGCCTTGAATCAGGGGCCAGCCGTATCATCTCTCCAGGAACTCAGCTCACTCAATGGTACTTCTGTTTCTGAGGCTGTTCCCTCAGTGGACAAATGTACCTGGGAAAGGTATTCCAGAATGCCTATGCCACTGAGATGTATGCCTCTCTAACAGGGATGACAATGAACTTTCATTCTCATTGCCAACACCAGTTGAAAGGAAGTGGCTACTGGCCATCTTGAAAACAGTGTTGGGGATTCTGACTCCTCACGTCTGGGTTTAGCAGAGGAGAGGGCCATGATCAACTGGTACTCACTGCCATGTACATGGGAGCAGGCAGAGAATTTGCTGTGAACTAGACCTCTTTGTACTCGATTTTCTCCAGGGTAACAGCTTGTTTATCCTATTACTCTCCTGGGGCTATTCCTTGCAAAGCTGGAGTACTTCTTGGGTGAAATTATTTTCTGGAGACAACTATTAGCTCAGTGGTAGTCCAGTGTGAATTAGAACTGCTTCCTATTTAGCACCTGGATAGATGTGAAAATATTCTGTCCTTCCAGGGCCTTCGAGCAAATAACATCATGTCAGAGTGACATTGCCAGGGCAGCTGCTAAGACCCCATCACCAAGGGCCTTATGTTAATCATTAAGAGTCCTTTAGGTACTCTGAGTACTCTCACTGTATCAGGTGCTTTCTTCCATAGTCCAATCTCAATTCTTGGCCAGAAGAGATGTGCTTCCCCTACAGCATACCACCTTAGGCCACCTGAAGACAGCTGGACTGTTCACGTTCAGCAAACCCAATCTGGAAAGAGGGCCAGTTACTGCTGTGGTTACAGCTGAATATTTGGTCACTGGCGTCGTCTAGATGTTGTTGGATGGGAAAAGTTACTGAAGATCTTTGTAAGATGGTTGTCCTACTGTGTTCTTGGCATAAGTGGTCCTCTTACCCACAGTCATCGTTTCTGTAGGAAGAAGAAACAAAAAGAATGCTTTGGTTTTCATCCATATATATATATTTTTTCCGTTATTTTCTTTTTTTAATTGAAGTACGGTTGACTTACAATGTTGTTAATTTTGCTGTACAGCAAAGTGATTCAGTTATACATATATATGTATGTATGTGTGCGTATATATATACATATATATACACACATTTGTTTTTAAGTATTCTTTTCCATTATGGTTTATCATAGGATATTGAATATAGTTCTCTGTGCTGTACAGTAGTACTTCGTTGTTTATCCATTCTACACGTAAAAGCTTACATTTGCTAACCCCAACCTCCCACTCCATCCTTCTCCCATCCGCCTCCCCCTTGGCAACCACCAGTCTATTCTCTATGTCTGTGATTCTGTTTCTGTTTCATAGATGGGTTCATTTGTGTCATATTTTAGATTCCACATATAAGTGATATCATACGGTATTTGTCTTTCTCTTTCTGACTTACTTCACTTAGTATGATAATCTCTAGTTGCATCCATGTTGCTGCAAATGGCATTATTTTGTTCTTTTTTCATGGCTGAGTAGTATTCCGTTGTATATATGTACCACATCTTCTTTATCCATTCATCTGTTGCTGGACATTTAGGTTGCTTCCATGTAGTGGCTACATAGTAGTGAATAGCACTACCATGAACATAGGTGGCATGTATCTTTTTAAATTACAGTTTTGTCTGGATATGTGCCCAGAAGTGGGATTGCTGGATCATACAGTAATTCTATTTTTAGTTCTCTGAGGAACCTCCATACTGTTTTCCACAGGGGCTGTACCAACTTACACTCCCACCAACAGTGCAGGAGGGTTCCCTTCTCTTCACACCCTCTCCAGCATCTGTCATTTGTAGACTTTTTTTTTTTAACTTAAAAAAATATATAAATTTATTTATTTATTTATATTGTTAATTTTTGGCTGTGTTGGGTCTTCGTTGCTGCGTGTGGGCTTTCTCTAGTTGCGGAGAGCAGGGGCTATTCTTCATTGCGGTGCGTGGCCTTCTCATGGCGGTGGCTTCTCTTATTGCAGAGCACGGGCTCTAGGCACGTGGACTTCAGTAGTTGTGGCACGTGGGCTCAATAGTTGTGGCTCACAGGCTCTAGAGCGCAGGCTCAGTAGTTGTGGCACACGGGCTTAGCTGCTCTGTGGCATGTGGGATCTTCCCAGACCAGGGCTCGAACCCGTGTCCCCTGCACTGGGGACACGGGTGAACCCGAATCCACCCTGCTGGTGGATTCTTAATGACTGCACCACCAGGGAAGTCCCATTTGTAGACTTTTTAATGATGGCCATTCTGACGGGTGTGAGGTGGTACCTCATTGTAGTTTTGATTTGCATTTCTCTAATAATTAGCAACGTTGAGCATCTTTTCATACACCTATTGGCCATCTGTATTTCTTCTTTGGAGAAATATCTATTTAGGTCTTCGGCCCATTTTTCGATTGGGTTGTTTTTGTTGTTGTTGTTGTTGAGTTGTATAAGCTGTTTGTATATTTGGGAAATTAAGCCCTTGTTGGTTGCATCATTTGCAAATATTTTCTCCCAGCCCATAGGTTGTCTTTTTGTTTTGTTGACGGTTTCCTTTGCTATGCAAAAGCTTGTAAGTTTGATTAGATCCCATTTGTTTACTTTTGTTTTTATTTCTACTGCCTTGGGAGACTGACCTAAGAAAACACTGGTACGATTTATGTCAGAGAATGTTTTGTGTATGATCTCTTCTAGGAGTTTTATGGTGTCATGTCTTATGTTTAAGTCTTCAGGCCATTTTGAGTTCAGACAATACTACAAAGCTACAGTAATCAAAACATCACGGTATTGGCACAGACATAATGGATCAATGGAACAGAATAGAGAGCCCAGAAATAAACACACACACCTACGGTCAATTAATCACTGACAAAGGAAGCAAGAATATACAGTGGGAAAAAGAAAGTCTCTTCAGCAAGTGGTGGTGGGAAAGTTGGACAGCTGCATGTAAATCAATGAAGTTAGAACACACCCTCTCACCATACACAAAAATATTTCCTTTTTTTTTTAGCACTGAAGTATAGTTGATTTACAATGTTTCAAGTATATAGCAAAGTGACTCAGTTTATATATATATATATATATATATATATATATACACACACACACACACACACACATATATGTTCTTTTTCAGATTTTTTTCCATTATAGGTTATTACAATTGAATATAGTTGAATATAGTTCCCTGTGCTAACAGTAGGTCCTTAATGTTTATTTTATATACAATAGTGTATATCTGTCAATCCCAAATTCCCAGTTTATCCCCCTACCCTTCTCCTTTGGTAACCATAAGTTTATTTTCTATGTCTGTCATCCATATATTTTTAATGGGTATCAGACAAATGCCAGGCACTGTGATAGATGCTGGGGATACAGATACCATGAGGAAGACACAAATCCTTCTTTCAAAGAGCTCACAGAGGGAGAGATTACAACGTGAGAAGCTAAACAACAGAGATGTGTGTAAAATGCGTAGGAGCAAAGAGCAGGGAAGGACAAACTTCAAGGGGACTGAGGTCTACAGGGAGGATTCTGAAGATGTCTTGAGCTGGGCCATTTAGGCTGAAGGGGAGGCCGTCAGGAGAGAAGGAGGGAAGGCCACCGTGGGCCGAGGAAGTTGGAGGGACTGTCAGAATTTGGTGTGAGAAGTGGAGCAGGAGGAAGTAAGCCTGGGGAGGGGAGAGTGGTTCTGCGTGGTGTGACACCCCTTCCGTGCTCTCAAGCTGTAGGGGGTGGGCTCTTTCACCGGAGCCCCAGACTTAGAGTGGCAGGATATCTTGTGATTCACACTCAGCCCGGCATTCAAGTTAATTTAAACTCAGGGCATCTTCCAATACAGACTAAGAGTATTAATGCTGCAGTCACAGAGAGAAAGAAAACTGGAGTCACTTCTATGGACATAGCAATAACAAAAGGCAAACATGTAAACCATGGGAGAGCTGCAAACGTTCCCAAACTGGAATGTGTGGACTGCATTTCAAAGGTCAAATGTTCATGTGTGAGGCTATTAGAGAGAGTAACACAAGCCAGAGCATAACTGGTGAAGGTAAAGCCAAGTCTGACGGTGACCCTGGGCTCTGAAGTGTGTGCATGGGTGTGGGTACACCCATACCCCTGGGAGAAGAACATTCTTTTCTGGATCTAGGAGGAAAATGTGAATGGATAGTTCCCTTATATTGTGATTCAAATACAACTGTCCCAGATGCTCTGGAGCACCCTCCAGCTGGCTCTGCTTCCCAACCCACCACCCACATCAGGTACTGGTTCCCAGAGCCCCTTCTGCCAGCTGTGAGACTCATACTGCAGGCCAGCTTGCCAGTCCCTGAATCCTTTCTTATCAGGAAGGCAAACCATCAACAGGCTCAGCCCCACCAATGAATGCCACGTGGTCTGGAATTAGCTGTGCTGCTATTAGCCAGTGAGGCCATATGCCACACGCCTTCAGTTTTTGATTATCTATAGTGATAGGAACTTTACAAATCCTTAGAAGAACCCTCTGAAGTTCTTTACTGAAGGATACAGAGATGTAGAGAGATTAGTTTGCCCAAAGCCATGCTAAGTGTCAGAGTTGGAATTTGAACCCAAGATTTCTAACTACAAAGTTTAAGCTTCACAGTATTTACAATAGCCAAGACATAGAAGCAACCTAAATGTCCATCAACAGATGAATAGATAAAGAAGGTGTGATACACACACACACACACACACACACACACACACACACACACACACAGGAATACTACTCAGCCTTAAAAAAGAATGAAATAATGCCATTTTCAGCACCATGGATGGGCCTAGAGATTATCATACGAAGTGAATTAAGTCAGAAAGAGAAAGACAAATACCACATAGTATCACTTATATGTGGAATCTAAAATACGACACAAACGAACTTTTCTACGAAACAGAAATGGACTCACAGACATAGAAAACAAAGGAAAGGGGGTGGGGGTGGGATAAACTAGGAGTTTGAGATTAGCAGATACAAACTACTATATATAAAATAGGTAACAATAGGGGCTTCCCTGGTGGTGCAGTGGTTGGGAGTCTGCCTGCCGATGCAGGGGATATGGGTTCGTGCCCCGGTCCGGGAAGATCCCACGTGCCGCGGAGTGGCTGGGCCCGTGAGCCATGGCCGCTGAGCCTGTGCGTCCGGAGCCTGCGCTCCGCAACGGGAGAGGCCACAACAGTGAGAGGCCCGCATACGCAAAAAAAAAAAAAAAAGATAAAAATAAAGTCCTACTATATAGCACAGGGAACTATAGTATATTCAATATCCTGCAATAAACCATAATGGAAAAGAATATGAAAAAAAATATATATATATATATGTATAACTGAATCACTTTGTTGTATACCAGAAACTAGCACAACATTGTAAATCAACTATACGTAAATTTAAGAAAATTTAAAAAATAAAATGAAATAAAAAGTTTAAGGTTTAGCAATTATATCATTCCTAAACGCACTGCATAAGTTCAGTCTATATATCTGAGCTTCTGCCTTGGTTTTCTAGCTACTCTAAATCTGGCCAGATGAGGTAATTTTAAGAAACCCTGATCCAAGCTAGCAGCCTGCCGCAGGTGCTGCATATCCCACTTCAGCTTCCTACCTTCTTATTCCATCGCTCTGGATTCCCCTGGCCAGTGGTCTGCATGTGTATCTCACTTGCCCCCTCAGCTCTATACCCCATTCTTCCCTGTTATGACCTTAGTTTCACCTCTTCATTTGCATAGTCCCTCCAGACTGCTTTGGGTAGAGCTCTCCCAAAATGCCCAGCCTTAGGCACTACCTCTGTACCTGGTTTGTTATGGCCTTACCTAAGGCCTGCTTAGAGGGCTGGGCTATGACCTCAGTCCATCTTTTAACAGTCCCCATACCCAGGAATACCATCAGCAGAGGCCATGCTGCCAGTGGTCAAATCACAGTACAGCTCCAAAC